AAATTTACCTCTAACCAGTTTAATCCTTTCGAGTCTCACTTTTGAGATTTGTTAAGGTCTGGATCAGTGCTTAGTCTAGGGTTAATATTCCCCAGTACTGAGGTAAGACCCTTTGAGCTTTCTACCCAGTGCACCTTGCAACATGAGATTTTCTAGTTTGACTGATGGGATTGGGTACTATTCCCAGTACTGTGTGAGCACTGGGCACTTTTCTCTAATTGTTTTGGATGGTTATTTTCCAGGCCTGGAGTAGAATTCTCGTGAGCGTGTGCTGATCACAGGCCTGGAGTAGAGTTCTCGTGAGCATGTGCTGATCACAGGCCTGGAGTAGAGTTCTCATGAGCATGTGCTGATCAGGTACCCATGGGCCTCCTCTGCAGATCTCTAGGGTTTTCTTTCTGTGTAGTAGTCTCTTTGGCCTTTCATCCTGGAAACTCTGCCTGCATTGAACTCCAGGGATTCTTAGCCTTGTCTTCTCAAATCAGGGAGGCTTCTTGGCTCCACCTGGCTGCCCCTTCTCTGTACTCCCTCCTGGAAACTCTCAAGGCTGAAAGCTTGGGCAACCCCAGGGCTCACCTCCTTTGCCTCTCGTTACTTAAGAGTTACTTTTCTTTGTTACCCGTTGTCTACAGTCCTGAAAAATGTGGTTTCAGTTATTTAAAAAATTTTTAAAGTAACTAGATGGGGGGGTGTTATTTCCAATGGGAGAATAAATGCAGTCCCTGCTATTTTATCTTGGGCATAGGTGGAAGATGCCCGTTCTCTCTTGTAGCTGTGAGAAAGTGCTCCTGTTAACAGAGCTGCTTACCCGGTGACTGTTGTGGGAATCTTGTCAACTTCCATTTTGGGGTTTAGGAATGCCTGTTGTGTTTGTGAGACCTCTGTGTTGTTGCTGCATGAGAACAGTACCGCAAATTTCGCAGCTGAAAGCAACCCATGTTTATTATTCTACAGTTTCTCATGTGGTTGTTGGCAGCTTTCAGTTCACTGTGGGTTCTTGCTGGGTGTTGGCTGGAGGCTGCTCTTAGCTGCCTTGCCAACATGGCTGCTTGCTTCCTAAAAGCTAGCAAGAGACACAGTCTCCTAACATGTTGGTTTATCATCTTATGTAATGTTATCGAGGATGTCACATTTCATCACCTTTGCCCTATTCTGTGGGTTAGAAGCAAGTCTCAGGCCCCACCCACAATCGAGGAGAAGGGATTATTCAAGATGTGAACACCAGTGGCCAGGATCCTGGGGTGTACCTTAGAGCAAGCTTGTCCAACCCAAGGTCTGCAGGCTGCCTGTAGCCCAGGATGCTTTGAATGTGTCCCAACACAAATTTGTAAACTATCTTAAGGTGTGTGTGTGTGTGTGTGTGTGTTTAAGCTCATTGACTATTTTTAATGTTAGTGTATTTTATGTGTGACCCAAGACAGTTCTTCTAATGTGGCCCTTGGAGGCCAAAAGATTGGACACCCTTGCCTTCAAGTCTATCTGTCACAACCTTTCAGCTGATGGGCTACTCTAAGAAACAGAATCCAGGTTCTTTTTTTTTTTGAGACAGTATCTACTGTGTTGCCCAGGCTGGAGTGCAGTGGCACAATCTTGGTTCACTGCAGCCTCTGCCTCCCAGGTTCAAGTGATTCTCAGGCCTCAGCCTCCTGAGTAGCTGATTGCAGGCACATGCCACCATGCCCAGGTAATTGTTTTTGTATTTTTAGTAGAGACAGGACTTTACCATGTTGACCAGGCTGGTCTCAAACTCCTGACCTCAAGTGATCCATCCACCTTGGCCTCCCAAAGTGCTGAGATTATAGGAGTGAGCCACCATGCCTGGCTAGGTTCTGATTGGCTTTATAGTTATTGCTTTATCCTGTTGTGTTTTAAGTCAGATGGGAGAAAAAAGAGTCACAAGCAGAAAATACATTTATGGTGTCTTTTTTATTTACCCATGTAGTTGCCTGTATTTCTTCATGTAGTTTTGAGTTACTGTTTCCAAAGGACTCTCTTTGGTATTTCTTGAAGAGCAGGTTTGCTAGTGACAGATTCACTAAGCTCATCTTTATCTGGACAGGTCTTAGTTTCTCCTTCATTTTTTAAAGGATAATCTTGCTGGGTATAGAATTCTTGGTTGACAGTCTTTCAGCTCTTTGAATGTGTCATTACACTGCCTGCATGGTTTCTGATGAGAAAGCAGATACTGATCTCATTGAGGGCTCCTTATATGTGACAAGTTGCTACTCTATTGCTGCTTTCAAGCATTTCTCTTTTGTCTTTTGAGTGTGTGATTATGATGTTTAGGTGTTAATCTCTGTGAGTAAATTACATGGGTTTGTGGAGCTTCTTGGATGTTTTTCATCACATTTGGGGAGTTTTCAGCCATTATTTTTTCAGGTATTCTTTCTGCCCTTATTCTACTCTCCTCTCCTAGAACTCCCATTATGAATCAGTTATCCACTTGATGGTGCCCTTCAGGTTTCTGAAGCTCTGTTCCTTTTCCTCTGTTTTTTTCTTTCTGATCCTTAGACTGGATCTTCTCAATGGACCCCTCTTCAAGTTTGCTGATCATTCTCTGCTATTGAGTCCTTCTAGTGAATTTCAATTATTGTACTTTTCAACTCCAGAATTTCTGTGTGGTAGTTTTGTTTTCTGAGATGGAGTCTCGCTTCACTACCAGGCTGGAGTGCAGTGGCACGGTCTTGGCTCACTGCAACCTCTGCTTCCAAGCTTCAAGAGATTATCCTGCCTTAGCCTCCCGAGTAGCTGGGATTACAGGTGCATGCCACCATGCCCAGCTAATTTTTGTATTTTTAGTAGAGATGGGGTTTCACCATGTTGGCCAGAAGGGTCTTGATCTCTTGACCTCGTGATCTGCTACCTCTGCCTCCCAAAGTGCTGTGATTACAAGCGTGAGCCACCATGCTGACCTCTGTGTGGCAGTTTGTAAAAATTATTCCTGTCTCTTTGTTGATGTTCTCTTATTTGGGGAGACATTCTCACACTTCATTTCTTTAGACTTGGTTTCCTTTTGCTATTTGACCACACTTAGAATCGCTGCTATTTCAAGTCTTTGTCTAGTAAGATCAGCATCTAGGCTTTCTCAAATATCTTGTTTATTTTTTTATTTATTTTTGGAGATGGAGACTTGCTCTGCTGCTCAGGCTGGAGTGCAATGGCGCAATCTCAGCCTGCTACAACCTCTGCCTCCTGGGTTCAAGTGATTTCTCCTGCCTTAGCCTTCTGAGTAGCTGGGATTACCGGCGCCCACCACCACACACAGCTAATTTTTGTATTTTTAGTAGAGACGGGGTTTCACCATGTTGGCCAGGCTGGTCTTGAACTCCTAACTCAAGTAATCGACCTGCCTTGGCTTCCAAAGTACTGGGATTACAGGTATTAGCCACTGCTCCTGGCCTCAAGTATCTGTTGATTGCCTTTTTTCCTCTGTATGTTGGCCATATTTTCATGACTCTTACGTGCCTTGCAGTTTTTTGTTGAAAATGGATCATTTTAAATAATAGAATGTGGCAGCTCTGGAAGTCAGGTTCTCTTCCCACTCCAGGGTTTGTTATTGCTTCCACTTGTTCTTTGTTTAGTGATTTTTCTGGACTCATTCTGTAAAGTCTGTATTTTTTGTCTTCTGTGGCCACTAAAGTCTAATATAGCTTAGTGGCCAGCTAGTGATTAGACAGACATCCCCCTGAACTCCCGGAGCCATAAATGCCCCATTCTTTGCAGCTCTGTGTGTGTGCTTGGACACACCTCCAGCACAGAGCCAGGCTGTTTGTGACTCTCATCTTTCACTTCCTGTGTGGGCAGTGCCTTGAGCTGGGCCACAGGTGAGAACTGACAATCTCCCCAGGTCTTTCCCAGGCCGTGTGCATGTGTGTGGCCTTCTAGATTCCCAGGAATGTGCTGGATTTTTTCAAAGCCCCCTGAGGCATCTCATTCTCCAGCTTAAAGCTTTGTTTGGTTATCCTATCATTTGCTCCAGCCATTATTCCCTGTCTTAGAAAGCTGTGATGTTTGACAGTTACCTCTGATTGTTTTTGACAAACACCACCAGGGAAAAGGCTGCGTGAGCTCAGAGAAAGTCTTTTGAGTGTGGTCTACCAGAGGACTCCTGGACAGCTGAGATAAGCACAATGTCTGGATTGGGGCTTTGTGGAATATCAGGCCTGTTCTGCATCCTGGGGCTGCCAGGTGCTGGTTTTCACCCTACCTTCAGGCTGAGGGTTTCAAGGCTGCCATAGGATGGGGAGGGATGGATGGGAATACGGCAGGTTTGAGTGCTACAGAGCTCCCGTGCTGACTGGGATTCAGACGCTTTTCTGGAATGAACACTTTCCCTGATAGCTGCAAGCCTTTGGCAAGTTTCCAGAGTTCTGAGAAAGTTGACTCTGACCATTTGCCAGTGTCTTGCTTTCGTGGAGGAGAGAATTCTCACAGTTGGTGAGAGCCTCTTTGCTGACATCCTTCTCTAGCTTCAAGGAGAGCATTTGCTGGAAATCAGGAGGCACCCCCTGATCCCCGCAAGGTCAGCTTGTGGCCTTTGTGTTCTTTCTGTTCCCTCCTGGTTGTTGGGGAACTAGAGTGAGTTCCTGGAAGTGCTTGTCCATCATGAAGTCTGGCTTCTGTGCTCAGCAGTTGATTGTTCTCTATGTCCAAGGAAGTCACTTTCTACATTTAGAAAATAATTGAGTTGCAATATTTAGAAACCAGACAGCATCCCTTGGGCTGGGGTCACAGCCCAAAGTGGTGATTAATTTTGCCGTTTGAAAGTCAGAGTGGCCTGTGGCCAGAGGACTCACTGCTTACAATGCAGGTGAGCTAGAACCATGAGTTATAAAATGTCCTGGCCAAGTTTTTATTATAAGATACAAATTCATCCCACATAGTTGTAATGCAAGCCTAGATGATGAAGCACCCGGCTTGGTGGTGTGTCCTCCAGCGTGGCTGTGGTCGTTAGGAAGCAGCCGTGCTCCTGGAGACCTGAGGCTCCCTGTTTCCACCAGGTGCATCTGGCGATGGCCCCCTGAAGCTGCTGCCCGAGGGCCACTTTGATATGGTGGTCATCGACGAGTGCGCCCAGGCCCTGGAGGCCAGCTGCTGGATCCCCCTGCTACAGGCCGGGAAGTGCATCCTGGCGGGCGACCACAAGCAGCTGCCCCCCACCGTCATCTCTCACAGGTAAGGCCCTTTGCCGGAGGTGCCTTTTTCTGCCCCACTCGCCACCCTTGATACCAGCCTTCCGGGCTCACCAGGAGCCCCTGCGGTGCCTCCTCCGAACATTTCTCGGCACGGCTCCCACCCCACCTTACTGCATCTAGTCATCTCGACGTCGGATCCGTGAGATCCTGCGCTCCTTGAGGGCGGGGCCACAGCCCCTTCATCTCCGTAGCCTTGGAAACTGGACACAGGGCCTGGCACATTTCTGGTGCTGCGTCCCTGCTTGTTGAGTTGAACATCCCCTCACGAACCAGGCGGGTTTGATGGTAGAAGTTGCGTGAGAGCCATGGGTTCTCTGTGGGCTGGCCTAACTGGCCTCTGGGTGGATTAGGTCACAGTGCAGGTGGGTTCTTTAGTCATCAATCTGTAGACACATCCCGGGATGGAGGGCACTGGGCAGAGACGTAGCAAACCACGATTCTGCCCTGCGGAGACACCTGAGCCCTGATGCAGTGGCCTGGCCTGGGCTGTCCTGCTGGAGGAAGTGCTGCCCACCCCCGGCCCCTCCCTCACCTCTTCCCATACTACCCTGCGCTCGCTGCTCCAGCCACACAGGCCTTGCTGGCCCCTCTGCCTGGACCACTCCTGCCTGGGTGTGACGGGCGTGCCCTCCCTCCAGATGAACCTCCGCGTGGTATTCCTCGATTGTCCTTACGTGAGGCCTGTGAACAGGGCCTGGCACGTGGGCTGTCTTTGAACAAGTCCCTGTTCAGAAAGTTATCCCTGAGTTGTGAAACGCTTCGAGATGCCTGCATCCTGGCCCTCACTTCCACCGGGAGATTGGTTTCTTTCTGGATCCTCACTATCATCACTTTTCCCCACTACCTCGGCGTCATGTTGCCTATAATGAGCATCGCAGAATGCGATCAGAAGAAACGCAAATCTCCCCGGTGGAGAAAAAGATGGAGGGCGAGGAAATGCAGGACATCTCATCGTAAAGCGTTTCACAACCCCAGATAACTTTAGTGAACAGGGACTTGCTTACAAAGACAGCCCAACGTCGCGAAGGCCCCTTGTTCACAGCGCCTCACGTCAAGGGACAAATCGAGGAATACCAGCGATGGTTCATCTGTAGAGAAGAAGGGCCCCACGCACCGTCCACCACCAGCGCAGGCAGAGCGTTGGTCCAACGCGCACCAGAAGGGGCGAAGCAAAGGACATGTGTGGAATGGAGCAAAGACATAGACAAAAATGAGCTCCTGCGCAGGCCAGGTAACGTGATGGGCAGAAAAGAGGTTGAGGGAGGTGCCTACCCAGGGCGGGGTGCGTATGGGCAGGCCGGCCACTTCTCCACCGCAGGAGCAGCTGCCAAGGCCAGTGGCCAACTTTGAATTCCAAGGGCTAGTCAGGTCGTTTGACTCCGCCGTGCAGATCTGGGTTTCGCTACGGTACGTGCTGCAGTGCGTTAGTGGACCCCCATCCCGGGATGTGTCCTACAGATTGATGACTAAAGAACCCACCTGCCACTGTGACCCTAATACCACCCAGAGGCCAGTTAGGCCAGCCCACAGAGAACCCATGGCTCTCCACGCAACTTCTACCATCAAACCCGCCTGGTTCGTGAGGGGGATCGTGTTCAACTCAACAAGCAGGGACGCGAGCTAGCACCAGAACGTGGCCGAGGCCCTGTGTCCAGTTTCCAAGGCTACGGAGATGAAGGGGCTGTGGCCCGCCCTCAGGAGCGCAGGATCTCACGGATCCGACGTCGAGATGACTATGATGCAGTAAGGTGGGGTGGGAGCCGTGCCGAGAAATGTTCGGAGGAGGCACCGCAGGGGCTCCTGGCGTGAGCCCGGAAGGCTGGTATCAAGGGTAGGAGCCGATTGGGGCAGAAAAAGGCACCTCCGGCAAAGGGCCTTACCTGTGAGAGATGACGGTGGGGGGCAGCTGCTTGGGGTCGCCGCCAGGATGCACTTCCCGGCCTGTAGCCAGGGGGATCAGGCAGCTGGCCTCCAGGGCCTGCGGCGCACTCGTCGATGACCACCATATCAAAGTGGCCCTCCGACAGCCAGACTTCAGGGGGCCATCGCCAGATGCACTGGTGGAAACAGAGGACGAGCCCTCAGGTCTCCAGGAGCACGGACTGCTTCTAACGACCACAGCCACGCTGGAGGACACACCACCAAGCCGGGTGCTTCATCATCTAGGCTTGCATTACAACTATGTGGGATGAATTTGTATCTATAATAAAAACTTGGCCAGGACATTTTATAACTCATGGTTCTAGCTCACCTGCATGTAAGCAGTGAGTCCTCTGGCCACAGGCCACTCTGACTTTCAAAACGGGCAAAATTAATCACCACTTTGGGCTGTGACCCCAGCCCAAGGGATGCTGTCTGGTTTCTAAATATTGCCAACTCATTATTTTCTAAATGTAGAAGTGACTTCCTTGGACATAGAGAACAATCAACTGCTGAGCACAGAAGCCAGACTTCATGATGGACAAGCACTTCCAGGACTCACTCTAGTTCCCCAACAACCAGGAGGGAACAGAAAGAACACAAAGGCCACAAGCTGACTTGCGGGGATCAGGGGGTGCTCTCTGATTTCCAGCAAATGACTCTCCTTGAAGCTAGAGAAGGATGTCAGCAAAGAGGCTCTCACCAACTGTGAGAATTCTCTCCTCCACGAAAGCAAGACACTGGCAAATGGTCAGAGTCAACTTTCTCAGAACTCTGGAAACTTGCCAAAGGCTTGCAGCTATCAGGGAAAGTGTTCATTCCAGAAAAGCGTCTGAATCCCAGTCAGCACGGGAGCTCTGTAGCACTCAAACCTGCGTATTCCCATCCATCCCTCCCCATCCTATGGCAGCCTTGAAACCCTCAGCCTGAAGGTAGGGTGAAAACCAGCACCTGGCAGCCCCAGGATGCAGAACAGGCCTGATATTCCACAAAGCCCCAATCCAGACATTGTGCTTATCTCAGCTGTCCAGGAGTCCTCTGGTAGACCACACTCAAAAGACTTTCTCTGAGCTCACGCAGCCTTTCCCTGGTGGTGTTTGTCAAAAACAATCAGAGGTAACTGTCAAACATCACAGCTTTCTAAGACAGGGAATAATGGCTGGAGCAAATGATAGGATAACCAAACAAAGCTTAAGCTGGAGATGAGATGCCTCAGGGGGCTTTGAAAAAATCCAGCACATTCCTGGGAATCTAGAAGGCCACACACATGCACACGGCCTGGGAAAGACCTGGGGAGATTGTCAGTTCTCACCTGTGGCCCAGCTCAAGGCACTGCCCACACAGGAAGTGAAAGATGAGAGTCACAAACAGCCTGGCTCTGTGCTGGAGGTGTGTCCAAGCACACACACAGAGCTGCAAAGAATGGGGCATTTATGGCTCCGGGAGTTCAGGGGGATGTCTGTCTAATCACTAGCTGGCCACTAAGCTATATTAGACTTTAGTGGCCACAGAAGACAAAAAATACAGACTTTACAGAATGAGTCCAGAAAAATCACTAAACAAAGAACAAGTGGAAGCAATAACAAACCTGGAGTGGGAAGAGAACCTGACTTCCAGAGCTGCCACATTCTATTATTTAAAATGATCCATTTTCAACAAAAAACTGCAAGGCACGTAAAGAGTCATGAAAATATGGCCAACATACAGAGGAAAAAAGGCAATCAACAGATACTTGAGGCCAGGAGCAGTGGCTAATACCTGTAATCCCAGTACTTTGGAAGCCAAGGCAGGTCGATTACCTGAGTTAGGAGTTCAAGACCAGCCTGGCCAACATGGTGAAACCCCGTCTCTACTAAAAATACAAAAATTAGCTGTGTGTGGTGGTGGGCGCCGGTAATCCCAGCTACTCAGAAGGCTAAGGCAGGAGAAAATCACTTGAACCAGGAGGCAGAGGTTGTAGCAGGCTGAGATTGCGCCATTGCACTCCAGCCTGAGCAGCAGAGCAAGTCTCCATCTCCAAAAATAAATAAAAAAATAAACAAGATATTTGAGAAAGCCTAGATGCTGATCTTACTAGACAAAGACTTGAAATAGCAGCGATTCTAAGTATGGTCAAATAGCAAAAGGAAACCAAGTCTAAAGAAATGAAGTGTGAGAATGTCTCCCCAAATAAGAGAACATCAACAAAGAGACAGGAATAATTTTTACAAACTGCCACACAGAGGTCAGCATGGTGGCTCACGCTTGTAATCACAGCACTTTGGGAGGCAGAGGTAGCAGATCACGAGGTCAAGAGATCAAGACCCTTCTGGCCAACATGGTGAAACCCATCTCTACTAAAAATACAAAAATTAGCTGGGCATGGTGGCATGCACCTGTAATCCCAGCTACTCGGGAGGCTAAGGCAGGATAATCTCTTGAAGCTTGGAAGCAGAGGTTGCAGTGAGCCAAGACCGTGCCACTGCACTCCAGCCTGGTAGTGAAGCGAGACTCCATCTCAGAAAACAAAACTACCACACAGAAATTCTGGAGTTGAAAAGTACAATAATTGAAATTCACTAGAAGGACTCAATAGCAGAGAATGATCAGCAAACTTGAAGAGGGGTCCATTGAGAAGATCCAGTCTAAGGATCAGAAAGAAAAAAAACAGAGGAAAAGGAACAGAGCTTCAGAAACCTGAAGGGCACCATCAAGTGGATAACTGATTCATAATGGGAGTTCTAGGAGAGGAGAGTAGAATAAGGGCAGAAAGAATACCTGAAAAAATAATGGCTGAAAACTCCCCAAATGTGATGAAAAACATCCAAGAAGCTCCACAAACCCATGTAATTTACTCACAGAGATTAACACCTAAACATCATAATCACACACTCAAAAGACAAAAGAGAAATGCTTGAAAGCAGCAATAGAGTAGCAACTTGTCACATATAAGGAGCCCTCAATGAGATCAGTATCTGCTTTCTCATCAGAAACCATGCAGGCAGTGTAATGACACATTCAAAGAGCTGAAAGACTGTCAACCAAGAATTCTATACCCAGCAAGATTATCCTTTAAAAAAT